GTTGTCCACAACCTGTAATAACTATTAAATATAATATATAAATGAAGGGCGAGATCCCCCAAGCTCCCCTCTGTGACCTGGACTGTGGGTACCAGGGTGGCCCCCAAGCACCTGGGCTGGGGTTTACAGCATGTGGTGGGCTGTTGTTGGCAACCACATCCCAAATGAGCCAGAGCAGAGCATGTGAGGTTGTATTTTTAACTCCAAGGACCTGGTGATATGGAAAACTGGGTGCCCAGCCCAGGTGTCGCACAGATGGATGGAAAACTCCTGCCCATTGGCACCTCTGCCCTGCCAGCCCTGGGCATTGCAGCATGTTTATGAATCTTACCTGGTGCTTTCCCCCTGGAAACAGTTTTAAGGCTGTTTCCAGACCCCAGAAGAAACCATTTGCTGGAATTAGCTGGGAAGTTCCCTGTGAAGCTGTCAGTGAGGATCTGGCAGGGTGAAATGGAAAGGGAGATGGTGCAAATCCAACTTTCCCAGTTCAGTGCCTGATTTAGCATGCCCAGGCAGGAGAACCATTTGCAAGCCCTCAAGGGGGTAATGAAAGGATGAGCCCATGGTCCTCACCAGGCTCAGTGCCTCCTCAGCACCGTGAAGCTGGGACTCAGTATTCATAGGATGCAGAAAAAAAACAAGCAAATGCTGCAGCTGCCCATCAGTGCAACCTACCCTACACATCTCTCTTCTCCTGTCCCCTGTGAGGATGACCCCCTGCTGAGCTAAGAGGTGCCACATGGTGACATTCCCCCCTCCTCCCCAGGGCCCTCCTGCAGCCCCACACCCGGCCCCCAGGCTCTACTGAGACACACGGAGGCTAAGAACATCCATTGGGTTTTATTCCTCAGGTCTGACAAGTAAAAGCACAAATTCTCTTTGGAAAAAAAGAAAAAAAAAAAAGTAAACCAAAACAAAACCAACAACCAAGCCCCAAAACCAATGTTCAAGACACGTGGACAGTTTGTGTTTCTCAGGACGTGCCCTCAAGCTCCGCTGCTGGACACGGGTCCTTTGCAGAGATGTAGTTTTAAAAAACAAACAAACAAACAACCCCCCCAAAAAATAACCCACAGAGGAGGAAAAGACACAGGGCTACAGGATTCCACCTCAATTTTAGAGAAAAAAAAAAAAGGGCCATTTTTTTGCTATTGTCAGAAATGTCCCATCCGAGGGATTCAGCGCAAACAACCAACCTTCATGAGGACATCCATTCCGCTCAGCCCAGGGGCACAGAATCTCTACTGGCACCTCAGACTGCTACAAGCCCTCAGGGGTGGTGGCCTGGTGCCCGGTGCGTGTGCCCAGTGCGTGTGCCCAGTGCGTGTGCCCTGGTTCTCAGCTGATCCCCCTGGGAGAGGGGGTGGTGGGTGCTGCTGTCCCCCCGGGGCGGGTGGCTGGTCAGGCACAGGTGGCCTCCTGGCTCTCCACGGGGATCTCGCTGCCGCAGCCGCCCTCGCCGTACTGCTGGTAGGGGGGGATCTGGGGCGCCTCAATGATCAGCAGCCCCTCCGGAGACAAGGAGGCAAAGACCGTGATGGGATCCACCTCGTAGGGCAGCCTGCAGGAGGGGAGGAAAGGGGAGATGGTTTAAGAGCTGGGGTGGCCGCATCCCCCATCCCTGCTGGACAACAAAAAGCCCACACAGGACCCCCAGTGTGTGAGGAACCACAGGTTCCAGTCCAGGCAACTGGGATGGGCTGCCCAGGGCAGCAGTGGAGTCACTATACCTGGTGGGATTTTAAAAAACGCATGGATGTGGTGCTAAGGGATGTGGTTTAGTGGTGGCCTTGGCAGTGCTGGGTTAACGATTGGACTCCAGGACCTTAAAGGTCTTTTCCGACCCAAACGTCTCCCTGACTCTGTGATGCCGAGCCCGGCGCGGGGCTCAGCAAAGCCCGCCTTGTTACCGTAGCACCCGGGAATGTGCTGGGATATTTAAAGAGGCTCCTGGCCAGCCTGGCCCCTCTGTTTAATCTCCCCAGCAGATGTGTTTGACGGGATGTCAGCAGCCGCTTTTGGCGACCCGGCTCC